AGTAAGTGAGCGAGCGTTGCTCAGTCATGTCCGACTCTTTATGACCCCACGGACTACACAGTCCATGGAATTCTCCAGGCCAGAATACTGGAGTGGGTAGCCTTTCCCTTCTCCAGGGGGTCTTCCCAACCCGGAGATGGAACCTAGGTCTCCCGCACTGCAGGCAGATTCTTTACCAGCTGAGCAACAAGGGAAGCCCAAGAACACTGGAGTGGGTAGCCTATCCCTTCTCCAGCGGATCTTCTCGACCCAGGAATAGAAGCAGGGTCTCCTGCATTACAGGTGGATTCTTTACCAACTGAGCTATCAAGAGAGTTCCATGAATCTGTTAGAAAATATCAGAAACACAAACATCCTACTAAAACCTGAGAAGCATTTCCACTCAAAGCAGAAACATAACTGGGATATCCACTCTACTTCTACTACAAGTCCTGACTTGAGAGTGAGAATAGGAGAGCGGGAAAGAAGAACTGGAAAAGAACACAGAATTGTGATTTTTGTCTTCCCTGGAGATATGAGTGCCTTCATAGTACTGCCTTCTCCGAAGTGAATCTACAAACTACTGGAGCTGAAAGGTAGACAAGGATGCTAGATACATAATCAATATACCAGAATCGTTAGCATTTCTGTACATCAGCAACAACTAACTCGACAATGGTGAAACTGACTCATCCTAAAACTAAGTACCCTTGCCTAGTTTATGATTAATCAAGCTCTTTATCCAAAACTTCATTCCTGGCAACTCAAGACTCTCGCTCTGAGACTGCCCAGGTGTCTATCCACACATACTGTACTCTTTTTCCTCCTAATCAAGATGTGACTTGTTTCACTACAAAAAACAAAAACTTCATTCCGTTTTCTTGTTCCCTCTGACCTCAACCCTGTGCTAAATGAACACTAATCAACCAGTGTCAGATGACTAAAGTTGTTGCTAATGCTATCATTAAAAAAACAAGGTCCTACTGTATAGCACAGGGAACTAGTCAGTACCTTGTGATAAACCATATGGAAAAGAGTACGAAAAAGGATGTTCATGTGCACATATGTGGTTGAATCACTTTGCTGGACAGCAGAAATCAACACATTATAAATCAACTATGCTTCAATAAAAAAGTTTTTTTTTAAAAGAAGTTTTTTAAATAGTATAATTAATGTACTAAATGTGCTACTGTCAATAACATCATTAATGTATGAAAATTGCCGTTGTGCATCACATCACTAATATACAAACTCAGGTTCCTTCTCCAGGATAAGATGAGCTAACAGACTCCTGAGTCACAGGCCACAGAACTGTAAACCAGGAACAACCCTGACTCCAAAACTACAACTAAGAAAGGTCACAGAAACATCACAAGACAATGACCCAGCTTCTTTGTTTTTTCCCTTTTAAAAACCCCAATCTCAAAGACCAAGCTGGAGCAGATCTGAGCCTTGTCTCCCACTCCCTTGCTTGGCGCCTTGCGATACAATCCTTACTTTGCGGCAAACACTGCTGTCAGTTTACTTTTCTGTAGAGCAGGCACACAAGCCCTCTGCTCAGTTATAATGTAATGATAAAAAGGGTGTCACGTTAACCAGCAACAAAACTAAAACGCACCCAGGCATACTAGGTAAGACTAAACACAGTAAAAAGTGAAGGAAAAAAAAAATACTAGGCAGAACTAAAAAGTACCTAGAAAAAGCAAGACTATCACTAAGAAAATTAAAAAAAAAAAAAAAACCTGATGAAAGACCCTAAATAAATGGGAAGATGGATCGCAACAATGTAAAGCTTTCAAGAGTAAAGTCATCAGGATGGCTTGTGGAAAAAGGTGGGAGATGGGCCACTAAGAGGAGCTGCCAAGGCAAAAAGGAGGATAAAGGGGAAGTGAGACGATGTGACAGCAGGAAGGTCCATACCCCGGGGTGGACCAGTGAGATTAGCCCAGCAAACCACGTCAGAGGATACATGCTGAAGGGCAGTGGGAAAGGAAACCTTGAAAATCAAGTGAAAGTGGTTACAACTCGATGGGGAAGGACACGGGGAGCACCCACAGATTCTGAGCATGTGGATAAGACAGACCCTCCTGGGTGACTACTCTGGCAGCTGCAAGACAGGACAGAACCAAGGGTGTCAAGGGAGACACAACGAACCAGAGACAACAGCCTTGCTATTCTACAGCCGATCAGATTATATCGGGAGTGCTATGTTTAAAAAAAAAATTCAAAACCTAGAATATTCAGAGAAGGATTACCATGAAGAATGAGTGGAAGAAGAAGAGATGGGTAGCCTAAAGACAAGACTGGCGGGAGCAAGGAGTTAGAGAGCGGTACCAAGGTAATGCTCAGAAACCGTAAAAGATCGTCATGTGAATTAGAACTGCTTTTTTAACATCAAAGAGTAGAACCAGGTAAGAAGACATTGACCAAAAGTGAAAGAGGACCTGAGGGAACAGGTCCTGCTGTAACTGGAGGTGACTGAATATGAACTGGATGCCTCCTCAGAAGCAGAGACTTAAGCACCAGCATGTTCAACTAGAGAATCTAAAATAACTTCTCTAATTCATACCTACTAGGCGAGTGCAGCCAGTCCAAGGATGGAAGGAAGAAGACCTGCTCTACAAACTTGGCAATGGAAACACAAAGACAGAACCTGTCCTAAGGTTAAGTAATGAAGACTTGATGGCTTAAAGCAATACTAACTCTTACTGAGTGCTTACTATGCGCAAGACAGCATTTTAACTCCTTTTCAGGATCATGGTCTTCACAACCCTGTTAAAGCAGGTACTATTACTGTCCACTTTATGTTGGGGAAACTGAGGCACAGAGCAGTTAAGTAACTTGCCCAAAAACATACAGCACGTAAATGTGCCAGACACAGCAAGTAAATGATATGAAAAATGAAGGTGAGAAGTAAGTCGAGATTATGTCAATATTTCAAGTTAATGAAAGCCAGGGCTAGGGGAGAAATAAGTTAGGTGTGGAGTGTGCGGTGGGGAGGGAAAGATGTTACAGGTCCCCCACATGTTGGGTCTAAGATAGAGGGTTGGACAAGAGATGTTCAGGAGGCAGCTGATGACGGGGAACTGAACTCAGAGAAAAGAACTCAAGGTAGTTTTGGAAGCTGTCAACAGAGGTGAAGACAACATGACAAGGAACACGTCCCCTAAGGGTGTTGAAATAGAGAGTCAAGGTCTGAGCCCTGAGAAACAGCCAGAAACCAAAAGAAGGGAACAGCAGCCAGTACAAACCGGGGAGATTAGATAAGGCAATTTCCCAACTGGTGCACCGAGATACTGCTCCTCTCGTCCCCTGGAGCAGCCAGGACCCAGGGCTTGTCACCTGTACTCTGTGCAGCTTCTTCCAAAAAAAAAAAACAAGTCCCAGCATGTTCCACTGCGTAAGAATATTGAAAAGCACTGAGATGCAGGATCCAAAAGCTGAAGGAGGACAGATTAAAGAGGAGGTGAATAAGAGTAACAGAGGCTGCTCCTGTGAGAGAGAAGAGAACCAACTCATTGCCCCATGAAAGTGCATAAGGCAGCACACACAAACCACCAGCAGAGTCCATCATATCAGGTTTCCCTTGAAAAGCTTTGAAAGTTTCCTTAGATCACATGGCTACACCATGCTGCAAGTGAGGAGGCCACTGCAGTAAAATCAAGGCAGAAAGAGGCGCCAGGACCACAGGAACAAGTTTCGACACATAAGGAATGGATAATGGGCAAATACTGTAATCCAAAGAGAAATGAGCAATGAAGAGAATATATTAATATAAGCAACATGATCAGGTGCAGTGCTTCTCAAATGGTGTTCCAGAAAATGACAACTGCAGGAAACATCTTGGAGGGTTCCAAAATGGGTGGTGGCAATGCACCCTCCAAGATATTTACTTGTGACTTATTCCATCACTTTCCAAACCTGTTCCAGCACCACCCTTCTGAATCCATGTCCTCCCAGTTGCCAATGAGCTACAGCTGAAGTAGGAGACTCAATGACATCATCTTACACTTTGGGGCCCATACTGTTTTTAACCTGAGTGCTTCCTACAACTATAAGGCAGTAATCATTTCTACTGACTCCTAGTCAGGGCACTGGACAAACTTCCAGAGGTGTAGCCATGTCTTGGTTAGGCAGTTTACTGTCAGGGATACCCTCTTTTGGTCTATAAGACTGAAAAATCAACTGCCATCTCAAAAAGGACAGAGGGACACTTTTTCTTCTTTAATCTCTTTGATAAAGAATATAGCGTTTGGAACGAACACAACATTGTAATTATTCTCCAATAAAAATTGAAAAAAAATTTTTTTTAATTACCCCAAACTTGGAAATAAAACAGAAGGACAGCATCTCGTTTCTGCATGCTGGAGGAAAAAAAAGAAAATAACATTTGGGAAAGTATCTCGTCCCAAGAGTACTCAGTTTCCATGCGCCACCTGGAAGGTTTTCAGAATACTCGCCTCTTATCACTCAGAATTTAAGAATCAAGTTTTTAAAGCACAAAAGCCTGAGAATAAAGACTTTCACGCTGAAAGTTGGCAGGTCCTCCTGAAACCTTCACCAAGGCAATCTTTGCCAGAAAACCTGTTTCTAACTTAAGGAGAGCCATGAAAAATAATTTGCTTACTCATGGTAACACTCATTTTCTCCGAGAATAAGCATTCTGGAAAAACTACTTGTTCACCGCGGCCTGACTCACGTATGTCAGCAACCAGCCGTCCTCAGTCTGGAAGCTATAAAAGGTCTGAGGAGGGCTCCCTCGGTCTCTAACTCCGGCAGCTCACGAATTTAGAGTTTACTCCCGGCCTTCCTGTGTTCTCAAAGATGGCAACCAGCAGGGCTCCAAGCGGCGGACGGGGTACGTGTTTAAGTCGGGGGCGGGAGGGCCGAAAAGTCGTTGAGGAGCCTGAACACGAGGAAGGCACACAGAGCACGCGTGGCCCATCACACAACAGATTTGAGAAAACACCCATGCTCTGACACCTCAAAAGCTGCGGCGTCAGAAAAACGCTAGTGAAAGGATGAGTGAGGCAGAACAAAAACCCCCGCAGCCCACCCGGAAAGGCGACGAGCTAGGCGCCGGGGTTTGCGGGACCCACGCCCAGGAACCCCCCGCCCCAGACCGGCACGAGGTCGGGGTGGGGGCGTCTGGAGCCCCCGAGAGCCCTGGGCCAAGCTCCGGCTCGCTCCTCGGCAGCTCCACTCACCAAGAACTGGAGCATAGTGTCGGCAAGGAGGGCGCGAAAGGTGGCTACAGCTCCGAGGGCCGTCGGGACCTACCTCCCCCGGCGCGATGGGCGGCGCCCGCGGCAGACTTCCGGTTCACGCCCCGCTCCGCCTCTCCCGCCTTGCTTCACCCGGAAGCTGTTCCTGGCGCCCCCTAGTAGAGCGCCTGAGGACCACCTCCTGAACTGCCTGTCTGGCGAGAGCGCGCGGGGTACAGTAGGAGCCAAGTCCCAAGGCCCAAGCCAGGCTGGAAGCTTTGAACATTCAGATTCTAGAGCCCAGTGCTCAAGTACCGCTTCTATAAACTTGGGTCGGGGCCTAGTAGTCTGTATGATTACCGGCATCCCAAAGACCAGTCTTTGAACTCCCTGACCTAGAAGGACCACAGGAGGTCCTGGTTCCCATCCACACAGGCAAAGCAGAATCAAGATAAAGAACCTGCCTACCAATACAAGAGTCTCGAGTTTGATCCCTGTGTGGGGAAGAAATGACAACCCACTCCAGTATTCTTGCCTGGGAAATCCCATGGACAGAGGAGCCTGGCAGGCTACAGTCCATGGGGTCTGGAAAAGTCAAACACAACTTACTAAACAACAACCACAGTTTATCAAAACTAAAACCCTAATAACCAGGAAGAACGTACTCACCTCTTTTTGATTTTCTAATTCCGGCAAACTAACTCAGTAAAAGCAACACATTAAGATCCTATATTTATTTAGTATTGTTGAGGAATGGGCTTCCCTGATAGCTCAGTTGGTAAAGAATCTGCCTGCAATGCAGGAGACCCCAGTTCAGTTCCTATAGGAAAGATCCCTTGGAGAAGGGATAGGCTACCCACTCCAGTATTCTTGGGCTTCCCTTGTGGCTCAGCTGGTAAAGAATTGGAGAATAGATGATCTATGCTCCAAAAAAGGATTGAGGAATAGATGATCTACGCTCCAAATGCTTTAAAAAAAAACCAAAATCTAAAATCTTTTTCAATCTCCTTTGCTTTGCTGAAGAGCACATGCAACATCCACCAGCCTCTCTCCCAGTGTCCCAGGGAACAATGCTGAGTCAGGCGTACGCCCTAAGTGTTAGCCTCTCCCTGTTATATTTATTACACAAACAGCATTTCTTGTCAGCCTTTAAAGCAATATACAGTGCAGCTGCAGTTCTTCCAGCTTCTCTTTTCCACACACTTCTCCACTGCCCCAACTTCTGATCCCCATTCTGCTGTTAATTTTGGAAGAAATGGTGGCAAAACAAAATAATGAAGCTCAGTAAATCCCAAATCTTAACTATCCCAAACTAGCTCTCTGTCCTGTGGAAGGCTTCACACGTCAGAGGTTTACAAAATGCTTTGATTCTGTGCCTCAGGCTCTTTCCTGATATTTCTGTGTTCATGTCTGTGTTCCACATGATAAAGCTTACCATATGCCTGATTAGTGGAGCAACAGTCAGGCTTACTGGAGAAGGAAATAGCAACCCACTTCAGTATTCTTGCCTAGAGAATCCTGTGGACAAAGCAGCCTGGTGGGCTGCTGTCCATAGGGTCGCACAGAGTCAGACACAACTGAAGCGACTTAGCATGCGTGCATGCACTGGAGAAGGAAATAGCAACCCACGCCAGTGTTCTTGCCTGGAGAATCCCAGGGACAGAGGAGCCTGGTGGGCCGCTGTCTATGGGGTCACACAGAGTTGGACACGACTGAAGTGACTTAGCAGCAGCAGCAGCAGCCGCAGCCAGGCTTACTACGTCTTGGACCAGTTACTTACTCATCCACATCCCTCCAAGAATGCTCCTTATTAACAGGATGCTTTGCAGTTAAAGACTGATGTTTGTCAGTGTTAGGCAGTAGATTAATTTCAAAATATAACAAAGTTTTTTTAAATGCCTAAAATGTCATGGACATTTTATTAAGAAAAAAAATTATAGAATTAAGTATTAATTTTCTGCCACTACTTGAGCATCAAGACTCTTTCCCCTCTCAGCAGTCTCTTCTATATACCGGGCTGAAATAATTGGTGACTGGAAAGTGGCAAATGGACTTTCAGATGATGTAGTCACATGCACATAAATGCTACCAGGCAAGAAGTAAGAGTGCTAACAGCAGTCACCCTATTAACTATGTGCAAAATACAGGCAGATGATTAATTTGAAAAATTTCATAATTATTTTAGGGAATAAATGCAAGTGATTATTTCATCATTTACATGTAAGAAAGAAAAAATACTTTTAGTAAAGAGATGCCTTGACTTTGAGACATTCCTGTAACACAGTGTATTGAATATACTTTTCTATTAAAAAAGCATTATGAAAAATAAAATAAAAATAAAAAAGCATTATCATAAAACATGTTATATGGCTACAAAGGAAGGAAAAGTACAAGTTTTTCAGACTATGCCTTTAATTTGGCATTCAGAATAATACCCCTGGGGAAAAACCAGCACTGTGGAAGGATTGTTGAACTGTTGAATTCCTGATAATGCTGACCATTTTCTAGATAAAATTTCAAGAGACTGACCACGTTTGTTTTTTAAAAAAAGTTTTTTTTTTTTTTTAAACTAGTGAGCATGGCACCAGGCAAAGAAGTTTACAGAAAAGAAGTCCATATATAAAGAAAGAAATAGCAAAATATCTTCTGGTCATAATTTAGAAGGAAACTATAAAAAGGAGACAGTTTTCCCCAATTTGTCTCTTCCTCAGAAGAGTATAAGCATAGGCTCTCAGTTCCGTGATATCCTTAGCAGGCCTCGGATGCGTCTGACGAGAGCTTGTATGAAACTATAGCGAGATCGCACTTTTGAATACAATCCTTCAATGTCCAGAAGTTTCTTCTGTAGTGATTCTCCAAAAGCACTGATAGCGTCAGCCTGAAGCTAGAAGTAACACGGGTGATATTTCATGATTAAGTAGTCTCAAATATTTCTTTTATTCTTTGTCTTCCTATTTAAAATACCTTTGAATTTTTGTAATGTGATCCTTTCTCAGATGCCAAATTAACTCAACATTCACATTTTCCACCCTGAAGTTTATTGGTATGATAGTAACATTTTTCCTTCTTGTGTAAGTACATACAGTTTTAAATTTGCTCTAAATTGCAGTAACTGTTGATATATGGAGTTTCCAGACTATAAAGAATATTAATTACTGAACTCTTACTACTTTCTAGGCACCACCCTGGCGTCTCACACATGAAGGCCTCATTTAATTCTGACAAAACACTTCGAGGTTGAATTATCACTTCCATTTCTGAGCTGAGGAAATGGAGGCTCAGAGGCTAAGTAATTTACTTTGAGTCACATAGCTATTAGGTTGCTATCCCAGAATTCAAATCAGGTCTTTGCATGCAACTGTGAAAACTATCATCTTACTCACATACCAGGCTTTCCTTTTGTACTTGCAAAAAAAGAACATGAGTATGAGAATAGAACGTTACCTGGTCTATATCATGCTGGCTCACTGTAGTTAACCCACTTCTAAAATCCAGATTGCTTTCCGAAGCAAAGGAATCTAGAGATAAAAGACACAGTCAAACTAGGTTTGCAGGTGTGTCTCCTCCACAGAAGAGAAGAACCCAATGACAATTAACCACAGCGTCTGTGACCAGGCATGGGTCACAGCTGAGGACTCTCTTTTAGCTTTCAGTAAATGGAAGCCCCTAGGAAGCATTTTGATGTTCCAGGCCAGGGTTCTCAAGCTTTCCTTCTGTTTCCTGCCACTTAAGGATCCAATACATGCTCATCAGTCACAAAAGATCCCTTTAGCAATGAGCAGTGTGGCCAAGGCTAACGCATTTCCACTCCTCTGGACCAGAGGACTCTGGACCTGCATCAGCCATTAACTGCAAAAAGCTGAGAAGCAGCTGAAGACAGCCTCTAAGATGCTCTTGTGCTCCACACAATCTCCTAGGGACAGAAGGGAAATACAAAAACTAGCTATGCCTAGTAACTTAGTTACCTAGTCCATGCTTTGTAACCACAACAGTCAAAAGTCGGTTAAATGTAACTAGGTTTTCAAGGTGCTAAAATCTGCAGGCATCCTTGGTTCATTGATTTTCAGAATAAAGTTTACCTTGTAGCCTTCTGCTTTTAAATAAGGACCTGGAGGCAAATAAGGAATCCTGAGAATCGGTGGGTGTGCAGTGTAACAAGTAGTACTCCAGATGGCGCCAGAGAATAAACAGGCAGGTCTCTATGATGACTACAGGGGAGAGGCCAGATTCAAGGAAAACAATCTCATCACACAATTTTACAAACCAGTTTCTGCGACTGCACCATTCAGTGATATACCCACAGCTTCAGTCTAACAAGCTGGTTGTAAGGTCTCCAGAAAGCAGCACGCTGTGCTGAGAGGAAGGAGGTCAGACGCTCGCAGTGCTCACAGAGCCTTCAGTGTCCTTACCTCCTGTCTGGACACAAAGTATCTGCATATATTATGAGGATTACTAGTTACTCTAAAGAGTAAGAAAAATTTTCCATTAGAAATATGTCAGGCATTTACCTAGGAAAAAAAATAATGGTAATTATGCCCCTTTCCATTTGGTTCTGATACCCAAATAATGTGAGAATAAGAGTTCCTACATTTGAAGATTCCCTTAGAGGTCACCCTTCAAGCACCCTGCAGTCTCGATGAGTGCATTAAGGATACAAGAACAAAGGGAAAGCAGTTTAGCTCGATTGTTGATCAGCTTCACCAAACGCCGTCTTGCTAGAACATATTTCTGGGCAGTGGAGATTTTATCAACACCAGCAGGCATCACTGACTGACATAACTAAAAAAAAAAAAAAAAAAAAAAAAAAACCACAGCATTAAGAATGACATATATTGTATCAAAAATTTAATGAAAATCTACTATAAGCAGTCATTTGTGATAAGTACTGTGAAGAACATTCAAGTGAATTTAAACATCCTTGCAGACAAGAGTTTAGCATCTAGTTAGGAAGCTAATAATTTAAAAAACAAGAGCCAAAGCAGCAGTTGAATTCATAAATGAATGTTCATCTGTGGCTTTTTGAAAAAGTCCAATCCCTCAAATACACGTTTCCAATCTGTTGATGGGCCAACCAACCCTGAATTTCCTGTCAAATTAAAACAAAACAAAACAGTGCATTTTCAGTGGAGAATATCTGTAATAGCCATCAGGTATCTTCTGAAGAAAACACAAATGAGACT